TAAGATAAGATAAGAGTTCCATTATTCGTCCCACGGTGGGGAAATTTCAATGTTGCCGCGCACAGACAGGACAGTAGTAAGAGCACACAGGGAGCACACAAAATATACAAAATAATTAGTATCTATAAGTAGATAAAGTCAAGTGGACATTCTGAAGTTGCAGTATTGCTCATGATTTTAGTAATTACTTATTTACAGACGAAAGACATTTACAGGTTCTGCAGTTCTCATCGTACAGTCTGACAGCAGCAGGATTAAAGAGCTACGGGACCTCTCCTTCACTCAGCGAGGGTGAATAAGTCTGTCACTGAAACTGCTCTCAAGTGGGAACCATAAGTAAGATCCTTCAGCAAAGATCGTAGCCTGAGCCCTCCGTCCACCGAATGTCAAGCAGACTTTAGAAAGTACTTTACAACTGTTTGATTAGTTTGTGCACAATCAAAGCCACTGCGACTCTGACTGGAAAAAGTCATCCACCTCATGTCAAAGTTCACAACCGTACGTTCAGGTCACAGTCTAATTCATCGCAAATTGCTTGTAAAAAAAAAAAGGGGGTTGCACGGGTCACAACTCTAGCACTGACAATTACAGAAATGAACCCCGTGCATTTAGAGCCATAATAGACACACACCACAGATAGAGAATGGGAAAAGGTTGCGGGGGTGACAAGGCTGTGGTCGGAGGTGGGGGATGGAGGTGGGGATGGAGGTGGAGGTGGAGGTGGAAGTGGAGGGGGGCGCACACCTTGACAGGAAACAGACGCAAAGGTGAAGACCGAGCAGAGGAGTGAGGTTATCCTGACAGGTGGAGGGGGGAGGGGGGAGCGGAAGTACCAAACCCACTTTTAACTGAAGGTCTGCAGAAAGGGAAGAAGACAGATAGAGATCAAGAAGCACATGGGAGGGGGGAGGGAGGAGGGAGGGGGGGGGGACCTTGGACTAGTTGTTGCACCTTGACTTCCCCCTCTCATTGCAGTGCAGATAAGTGCGATGGAGAAAAAGCCCTGTTTTCCTGCTGCATTTTAAGTGGTTCTCATGCGATACCGAAGAGAATTTCATCTATGTTTGTGTATAGATAGATTTATACAATATTGATCCAAAAAGGAAATTGTGGATTGGTCCCTTGCTCGCAATCATACAAACATAAGATAGAGTTAAAACATAAAAAACATGATTAAAAAACTCAATAAAATACATTAAAATTATTAAAAGAGAGAAGTTAAGGCACTGTTGATATATTTTCAACGGATTAAACAAGCAGTGTGTAAAAGTGTGGCCAAAAGTGGTACTGCAGCCTCTCCCACTCTCCCTGACTCAGGTTGCCAGATATGCAGACGAATCCAGCTGGGACCATAACAGCTGAATAGACAAGAGTTTTGTCAACAACAAATCTATAACCAACACCTTTTTCACAAAGATAGAAATCCTGGTTTTATTCCTTGTTTTTTCGTTGATGATTTGAGAATCATAACGAGACCTTTTTTAGTTCTGCGCCACATGGTACTTTACCAGTGAGATTAGCTCCACGCTGGCAACCGGGATCACAGACTTTCTGATTGGTGAAACGGTGGAGGGCGGGACATCGAACAAGATTTAGAGGCTGTGATTTTTAAATCCAAATATCTCTGAACTACTGTTATCAGTTAAAGAAGTATTGGAAAAGTACATGTTTTATTAAAGCCTTTTGACAGATTAGGGCCCTTTAATGATGACTTGACATTAAAATCTTACATACTGCTCCTTTAAATGCATGTTTGAGTTAAGTCAAAGTTCTGGAATAAGGCCAATGGCTAATGGGTGTTTTTCTTTGAACTGAAATGTGTATAAAGAAACAAAACTTGCCTCATCTCTAGAACTAATTAATGTATGTCTGTCATGTTTGTATCAAAGGCCCAGAAGTGCAATAAATATACTCTGAGTTTCATATCTTTGAAGTATTTTAAGATACGTGTTTCTTATCATGCTAAAGACAGGGGGTTGTACTTATTTTTGCTTCTTCATCCGACTAAAGCTGGAGACTTCTTTCCTTATTATGCAAACGATAAAGATTTGTATACTGCTTTTAGTATAGAGTTATTGTTCATTTATCGTGTGCTGTGTGCTCCTCATTGCTACTGCTCTGTAACTTGTGATGCAACACTGACATTTCCCCACTGTGGAATGAATAAAGAATCTCTTAATACCAAAAATAGCTCATATTTCTGTGCATACATTATTTTGCTAACCAATATACCGGCAGAGCCAACATTTACTTTGCTCAAGGATTTTAGTGTTAGGGAAACCCGGAGCATCTGGAGGAAACCTACACATATAAGGAGAGACATGCAAACTCCACTCAAAAAGGCCCCGAGTCTCCTGGGAGTCAAACATTGGACATTTTTAGTGAAGTTCCAGATGCTGTTGGTGCTGAGGGGAATTGTGTTTTGGAACAACCCCACAGAATGCAAAAGTGGTGGCACATTAGTTTTTTAAGGGGCGGAGATACTGTAGGCGTGACTATGTCCATTAATATTTACAGTCTATGGTACTACCTTATGGTTCTGCGAGGGCAAAGAAAGACCATATGTGTTCCAGACCCAGTGCCCACTCAGACCTTTCAAGTTAAACTCACTGGAAACCTAAGATCTATACAAAAAAAATGAATCTAGTTTGACACACGTGAAAAATTAGCTTTAATTAAAAGAAGGCAAAAACATAAACTTCTTCCCCCCGTGTCGCAGCCTGGAGATGTCAGCGCACAATTGAAAACGCACATAAAAAGAAGAGCAAAGAAATTGAAATCTCTTCTCTCCCCATTGTTTTTTTCATTCTCTCCTTTGTTACATAAGTGCCTAAAAGCAAAGACAGGAAAGATTCTAATTATGATTTTCACAACGCTTAGGAATTAAAAATGAAAGGCAGGTTTGACAAACAAAGTACTCATGCAGCACTTTTCTAAAGTAAGTGTTGCACCTCATCGCTTCAACAAAGCTCCAGTTTTCTCCAAGAGAAAATTATACTTCTTAAACTATCCACGGGAGTGAAGAAAAATGCAGACTGTGGTTGTATTAAAGACAAAATGATTGTGGGTTCATATAAAATTAGCCTGGTTTTAGCCATCTGTAAACTCTGGTCCATGATCATTTCCTACATGTACGTCTGGTCTTACCATGTGTAAACTCTGGTCCATGATCATTTCCTACATGTACGTCTGGTCTTACCATGTGTAAACTCTGGTCCATGATCATTTCCTACATGTACGTCTGGTCTTACCATGTGTAAACTCTGGTCCATGATCATTTCCTACATGTACGTCTGGTCTTACCATGTGTAAACTCTGGTCCATGATCATCTCCTACATGTACGTCTGGTCTTACCATGTGTAAACTCTGGTCCATGGTCATCTCCTACATGTACGTCTGGTTTTACCATGTGTAAACTCTGGTCCATGGTCATCTCCTACATGTACGTCTGGTCTTACCATGTGTAAACTCTGGTCCATGGTCATCTCCTACATGCACGTCTGGGTTTACCATGTGTAAACTCTGGTCCATGATCATTTCCTACATGTACGTCTGGGTTTACCATGTGTAAACTCTGGTCCATGATCATTTCCTACATGTACGTCTGGTCTTACCATGTGTAAACTCTGGTCCATGATCATTTCCTACATGTACGTCTGGTCTTACCATGTGTAAACTCTGGTCCATGATCATTTCCTACATGTACGTCTGGTCTTACCATGTGTAAACTCTGGTCCATGATCATTTCCTATATGTACGTCTGGTCTTACCATGTGTAAACTCTGGTCCATGGTCATTTCCTACATGTACGTCTGGGTCTGATCCTAGTGGCTGCAGTTTCCTCGGTTGAATCTCCTCCGACCAATCAGAGAGCGGGGGAGGCGGGTGTTGTAGGTCGGTGTCGGTGACGTCAAGAGTTTGCGCCAAATTTTCTGGTTATAGTTTGTCGGCGAATGCAATACTAACATTGAAACCAGAGCAAGAAGAATGTTTAGCAAATGTCATTTCTGAAAATATGTTGTGCCTCTACTCGCTACGGGCTCCAATAGAGGCATAGGAGATTGGTTAAAGCTAGGGCTAACTGCTAAAGCTAGGCTAAATGCTAACGACTCACTCGGGCTCATTACATACGTCACAGTAAACTCAGATCCAATCGTTTCAATCTGCAAAAGGAGTTAACCCCTCCCACCTGTTAACGGAGTCAATGGAGCAAATCCAGACCTTACATAAATGAAATGAGTACAAAGGTATAGTAAGACCGGACTAACACTGACCTTATACAAAAGCCTACTGTAGGTCATAGAATATACAGAACAGAATATTACTCTTCATTCATGCTCATGGAGTCTTCGGTTTGAAGCCACAGCTGCCCTGGGACTGAACAGAAGCCTGACTTTTATCACTCTCACTGTCACTTCTCTAAAGCTCTGACCTTGAAGCATAAATGTCTATCCTTAGAAATAACGTCACATTGTGGACGGGGCAAAGAACTTCCATCTGTACAGAGAGTGAAGCACCTCTAACTGGGCGGCACGAAGGCTGAGTGGATAGCACTCTCGCCTCTCAGCAAGAAGGTCCTGGGTTCGAATCCCGGCCGGACCAGGGCCTTTCTGAGTGGAGTTTGCATGTTCTCCCCGTGTCTGCGTAGGTTTCCTCCGGGTACTCCGGTTTCCCCTACCACTAAAAATATGTACAATAGTTCTGGCATGTGCCTCCTGTACTGGCCCCGCTCCCATCTCTGTGTGGAGTGAGAGACAAGTGCCTAAAATAATAACAATTGTAAACCGCTTTGTGACTTTGGGCTGTGAAAGGCGGTATATAAATAAAGATTACTTACTTACTTGCACCTCTAACTACATTCAAAGACGTTTAGACTCTTCAAACAAAGACAGAAAACCGACAAACAGTCTGTGGTAGTGGTGTCTACCGGGGTGATTTGTATGAAAAATATACTGGTGGTAATTAGACAAACCCTGGGGTAACAATGCATTGGTCTTACCCCAGTAGAGGGCAGTCTCTTGCCGTCAGGGTTTGGGCGCATGGGCAGAGAGCTGTAGAGTCGCACACCTCTCTCTGCTGCTGTGGCGTATCTGTTCTGTAAGCACACACACACGCACACACACGCACACACGCACACACACGCAAGAGAGAGGGTGAGACAAGCACAAGAGAGGGAAGTATTTATATAATCATTTACATCCAAATAGCAGCAGGAGATACGATATGTAGGGTAGTAAGTAAATGTGAAGTAAAAGATTCATTGATTGAGAGGTGATGAAGTAAGTTTAAACATGCTGTGTTATTTATTACTTACTACTACTTACTACTTACTAATTCAGCGGTTTAAATACTATAAAAACAGCCCAAGGCCAACATATTTCAACACATTTGTTTGCAACTATCTAGAGAATTATCCGTCTTTTCTTTTGACTCAGAATACTTCTTTTAAAGTTATTGTGCATGTAAGCTCACTATTCTCCTGCCCTGCATTGCTATTGTTAATTTGTTAATTCATGTATTTAATTTTTTGGTCAATGTCCGACAAAATACACACAAAAAAATGACATGTCCACAAACTGAAAGGGTTTAGGTTGAGGTTATGCACTTATTCTGAGGCCAATCTCTGTTCACAAAAACACAATCAAGGACACAATGAAGCAAGACGGAAATACAGCTTGACACTTTGCAGCCGCAGCCGCCCCACTGTAGCACCTGCTTATTCACAGAGGTCTCCCATCACAGTACTAACCAGGCCCTGCCCTGCACAGCTTCAGATTCAGATTCATATTTGAGCAATTGTGTTTTTTATAAACATGAAATATAGATTTGTCTGAGTTTATTAGTGTGATGTGAAATGGGCTGTGGCGATCTGCTCTCTGCACCTGAAACTGTAATTTGCTGAATGGTTGGTTTTCAATTTGGATACGGCTCCTTTATGAATTGTAAAGTTCACATTGTGTATTTGATATCACTTTGGTTTAACTACAAAAGCTGCGTATTTGCCGCAGCACCTGCTTTTTTTTTTTTTAGATAGAAAACCAAAGGAGATAGTTCAATATGGCCGAGTAAGAAAGTGATATTTTCCCCATATATTGCACCGTCTTAAAGGAGCAGTGTGTAAACATGTGGCCAAAAGTGGTACTGCAGCCTCTCCCACTCTCCCTGACTCAGGTTGCCAGATATGCAGACGAATCCAGCTGGGACCATAACAGCTGAATAGACAAGAGTTTTGTCAGCAACAAATCTATAACCAACACCTTTTTCACAAAGATAGAAATCCTGGTTTTATTCCTTGTTTTGTCGTTAATGATTTGAGAATCATAACGAGAACTTTTTTAGTTCTGCGCCACATGGTACTTTACCAGTGAGATTAGCTCCACGCGGTGAGTTCTGGGGATCACAGACTTTCTGATTGGTGAAACGGTGGAGGGCGGGACATCGAAATGACAACAATAACAAGATTTAGAGGCTGGAAAAGTCATTTAGAAATTCAAATATCTCTGAACTACAATTATCAGTTTTAAAAGAGCATGTTTTATGAATGCAGTTTGACAGATTAGGGCCCTTTAATGATGACTTGACATGAAAATCTTACATATTACTACTTTAAAGGTATAAAGGAGGATGTTCTACTTCCGGGTGGATCATCAAGACAATCGCTCCTCCCAATTGTCAATCATAAATTGCCAATTGCGACCTGAGAGTTTTGTTTGTACAGTAAAAAGGGCAGGTTCTTTCCTAAAATCTTTCCTTTAAAGTGCCTGTCCTACCTCCTCTTTCACTGTTCAGATCTGTGTCATGGGTGATCCTTTGCCCTGTAGAGCCGCACACAAAAATAGCTCCATTGTTGCCCCCGATTTGTTTACCGTGTTGTTAGAGCAATATATTTTCCCTGAGTGAGACCGAGTGTGCATCGGCTGCCATGTTAAATCACATCTCCTCATGGTGATGGAGCACACATAATAACTGGATGAGGTCGGCAAGGCAGCGGCACTAATGTAGCTGCGCCTGTATGTTCACTGGCTCTGCACAGCCACTGCACTTTTCCTTTATTTTACATGACTGATAATTACCGCGGGCTCCTCCGACCTATAGAAGTGTAGTTTTGAGAATAGAGCTGCTGGAGAGGCTGATGATTTGCAACAGGTGGGGAGAGGAAGGAGGCAGCAGCGGGGCTCTGTCGGGGTGCCAGATCTGTCCCCGAGAAACAGCGGGAGGGCGTCCCAGGATTCAATTCTGATCGCACTTTTCCGTGTCTCTCGGAGTGAATGTAAACAGCTCCATGAATCTTTGTGCTTGTGTCTAATACGTGTACACCTTTGGAACTAGAATTATAAGTATGCAAAAATTATACGTATACACCGTTGGAAGTAAAAATAAAATAAAATCTATCAATAAATCAATCAATATTAAAGCAGTTTTACTATTTTATTATAGGTGTAAATGATATGAATTACACCCATATGTTACTACAGTGTTTCCAAATTATAATATATCATGTATTCATATGTAGTATGTAAAGTGTGTAAAGTGTGTATCAAACATGCATTTAATCTTGTTCAAAGAGAATGATTTATAGCTAATAGCGATATGTCTATAATCAGCCAAAAAGCCGACCACAGTCTTCCCCGAGGCCCCTGAGGCCCCTGAGGCCCCGGAGAGACGCTGCAGTGTGAGGTTTGATTTCCTGTGCTCATTATGAAAGGTTGAAACAGATAAAAAAAACAGCCATTTTGTTAAAACAAGTTTACATAAGATCTTTCTCCATATGAGTTTCATGGCCCCAGACTCAGCCCGGCTTTTCCAATACTGGTGCATGGTTCAACTGGTGCCAGTGCTGGTGCTGGTGTGAGGCTATGGCCAGATCCTCATTAAAGATACAAGCGATGTTGTTAGCTTAGCCGTAGCACCAACTCCAAACCATGCCCCCTCCCCTCCCTCTCCACCAAACCAAACATCCAGAATTTTATGGTGGAGCAAATGTGAAATTTTAGGTTTTAGAAAATCCGATAACTCCGGTGCACTCTGAGAAACAGGAAGAGGGTGAAGGCGGTAAACGAATCCCATTGGTTCATTTTTATCGGTCCACTCCAAAATATTTTCTATTACTTTTTGTAGATTATAGGCATCTGTTCAATTGCATTACTATTTGAAAAAACATGATAACTTGATACTTTTAGGGTTTAGAGAGGTTTTCCCACAATATTTAAAAAAATGTGTCTGGAAAATATCACTGACTGCATCTTTAATGTATATCTTATTTAAAATGCTTCAGCTCAATAAATACCAAAACACAGCTGCAAAGTCCATGTTATTATTCCTGTACTGGCGACCCCGCTCCCATCTCTGTGTGGAGTGAGATACAAATGCCCAAAATTAACAATTGTAAACCGCTTTGAGACTCAGATCTGCAGTGAAAAGGCGGTATATAAATAAAAACTTACTTACTTACTTACTATTATTGCACATAATTAAATCCTGCACAGACTATATTTTTAACCTTTAACATGTTTCACACTTCTGTCTTTTGCACAATCTGAGTGGATAGCACTCTCGCCTCTCAGCAAGAAGGTCCTGGGTTCGAATCCCGGTCGGACCAGGGCCTTTCTGAGTGGAGTTTGCATGTTCTCCCCGTGTCTGCGTAGGTTTCCTCCGGGTACTCCGGTTTCCCCTACCACTAAAAATATGTCCAATAGTTCTGGCATGTGCCTCCTGTACTGGCCCCGCTCCCATCTCTGTGTGGAGTGAGAGACAAATGCCCAAAAATAACGATTGTAAACTGTTTGAGACTCAGATCTGCAGTGAAAAGGCGGTATATAAATAAAAACTTACTTACTTACTACTTACTTCTATCTGGGCCAAATGTGACACGTGTGAGATCTATAAAGTCTATCTAACAAACTCACTGTTGTTAGTTAGTAAGTAAAACCTCATTAAAAACACCATATGTTCAAATTCAGCGGCCTTCAAACAAGGCAAGTTTATTTATATAGAATTACCGTACATTAAAAAGAAAGATCACTCAGAAGTGTGCAACATGTTAAAGCTTAAAAATACAGTCTGTGCAGGATATAATTATGTACAATTAAAAAGTGGCAATTAAAGAAACAAAATCCCTCAGTTGTAGCACAGACAATGTTTAACGTGGATTTAAACATTGTCAGAGAAGAGGCCTGTCTCACATTTTCAGGAAGGCTGTTTCAGATTTTAGCAGCATGAATCTGAAATGCAGCGTCCTCACAGGCAAGACAGGTGCTTTCAATCAGAAACAAAGCTGTTGTGGAATTTCTAAGGAGTGAAATGCACAATATTAAATATAAAATAAACAACAAGAGCTGTAATTCAAATCAAAGTGTGGTTTATTATCTCAGTAAATGTGACATATACAGGAAATACAACCGTGTAACCGCATGGCAGGTCCCGGGTAGATCTGCTGAATAGTGCACATTCTCTCTCATATTTATAGGATGGAACAAACAGAAGAGTCTATCTATGGCGTCTCTGAGTCCAAGATTAAGTGGCAGCTATGGCCCAAACCCCCCTCTCTTCTGACGTCTTACTCTGACAGACTCTGATATTACTCTGATATTAGGAAGAATTGTCAGCCTGACCGGTGAGCCTGTTCTTCTTGCCCCTGATATCAAACTAGTATCTGCCTCCACCCCGTCATAGGCCTCGCGTCCCTACAGAACAACAGTTTAGTTAGTTTCAACAGATTTACTAGCCTTGAACTTTGTCCCAGATATCCATTCATCATTAGATTCATTCTTAAGTTAAATCGATTTATAATCCCAGTAAGATTTCTATAACAAAGCTTTAGTGAATTTGATCAATCGTTCAAACATGATGAGATCCTGCAACGGTCCCATTGTGTCCTGAATCTAAAGCTCTTTGCATTTAACATTCATTTGCACATAATCGTATCTTTTCCGATCCGCAGAAGATCATTCATTGACCCTTCGGATGAGTCCAGATCCAGATCGGGCGCCTATGAACCAGACGATGTTGAAACAGTCCTCGCATACAGTACAGACCAAAAGT